ACTTTGCAAGGCGCAGCTGGAGACACGGTCCAGTCCTTAAAGTGCTCCAGCTGCCATGGCCGTAACCATGACAGAGTCAAGGTGAGGCCGCAGCCGACAAGGTCACCTGTTGTTTTCTACCATCCGCCGGTTCCACATGCCACGCTTGGAGTGATGGTAGTGGAAAAAGTTCCTCAAATAGATCCTCTCCACTTCCAGGCCTCCCTGGAGGATCCTGAAGCGCACAGAGCAGACGGGAAAGAGCCAGTTATTTGAAAAATAAAAACCCAGTCAAAATTAGTTACAGGGTTGTATTTATTTTCATTTTTAAGCAGGATTTCAACTTATATTCTTTTTTTAGCAGATAAAAACAAAACCCCACATTCACGACCTTGCATCATGTTTGCTGCATAAAAGCCAGCATAATATAGTGACAATACGCAGAAACCTTGGTCATGTAGCGGGGGCAAGTGCCAGCCTTCTGATTGGCTGACATCTGCTCCTCTTCCTGAGCCAGTTCATGAGAAACGCATGCAGTTTGTAGGTTCTGTTCATTTGTATTCAAAGAAACATATTATGCTTCTTAGGGATGCATGGTATATCTGCATTAATATTGGTGTCGGTCGATATTGGTCATTTTTTAAAATATCTTATCGGTCCGATGTGTAAAACGTCCGATACTGATTTCCCACTTTTTAGCTTTGTGTTTCTGTTTTGGGAGGGGAGATGGTTGAGCAGCATCTGTTTGATCATGATAGTGATATTGACGCTGGGTAGCCAGGAATAACTGAAGCAGAGAGCCATGTCAGAGGTCGGGTTGTTTATTTACGGTATCAAAAAAAAAGACCTAAGTGTGCTTGTGCATATATGTATAACATAATTTGTGTGTTTGTGTAAAATCGGTAAACATCGATTATCGGCCATAACAGCATCGGATATCGATATTGGCTGAATTTTTAATTTAAAATCTTTCAGTTGGGATATAAAGTGGAACTGCAATGCTTTGGTCTGAATTCCTCCTTACTGTAACTCCACAAGCCCTTCTTTCACACCTTTTCTGAGGTGTGTCTCAGAACAACACGTTTTGAGGCTGTGTCTTTCAACCCCGCCCCCTCCGGCTTCTAGAGTGGTCCATTGTACTATGAGAGAGGGGTTTATGACTATATAGCAGCGAAGAAACATCTTACTTACAAATTAATTAAAAGTGACTAAATTTTAATTTCTGCACTCCTAAAGACTCCAAGTACACAATAAAAATACATTTAACATTGAAAAAGTGGATTTCAGCATCTTTAATACTGTGATTGTGTCATTCAAACGCACCAAATAAAAGTGCATCATTCAAAGCATAAGGTGAAAATAATCATATAGAATAAATTGATTAGCCAATGACAGATTTCTGACCAGATGGAGACGTTAAATGAGGAACAAACCTGTCGAGGAGCTCCCAGTCTTCTCCTCCCCAGCGATCTCTGAACTCCTCTGTGTTCATTCCTCCGATCGCAATCAGGTCCGATTTGTAAATTCCCAGCAAACCAAAGCCATTAACCTCCCAGTAACCTGTAGGTACACGACACACCATCATCCTCTTTTCATTCAGCTTTTCAGTTGTCCAAAAAAGACAAACGTGTTGCTAACGTCAACAACTCAACTGACTTATTCAATCGTGTTATTATAAATCCATGTGTGTCTTACTAAATATGTCAAAAAGCCAATGTTTACATGATCTTTGCTTCAGTAACAAACTGTATCAACACGACTAAAATACCTGGTTCCCACACTGATTGTTACAGTCTGCTAAGAAAGTTTCATTTCAAAGTTTTATTTTCTTTGGGTAGATTACAGCCAATATTAATAGTTAAGATTACCTAAATGTAAAACAGTTAAATCACTATGAAGATAAATTAGTCTCATAATGACTTGGAGTGATTACACTCTGTGACGTGTCGTGCGGACCTCTTGACCAGGTCAACCTTGTAAAAGAGATCCTGATCTCAGTGGGTTTTCCACCTGGTTAAATAAAGGTTATTGATTGATTGATTGATTGATTGATTGATTGGTTGATTGATTGATTGATTGATTTGAGAGAGCAAGCAAGAAGATTTGAGAGAGATCACACTTGAATAAATTAGCTATATTTTAATCGGTCCTTACAGTTGAATAGTTACATTTTGTTCTCTATTCTTTATATTTAGTATCAAGTTTTATCTAATTTTGCAAATAAATGGTATACATTTTAAACTTTTTATACTCGTTTTCACTCAGCTATAGCCTGTTAGAAAAAGTCAAACTAATTTATAAAAAATGCTGAAAAATTAGTAAAATTATAACTTGCTAAACTTTAGATGTTACATTATTTGTTCTAACTAACAAGTATTTATTAAAAAAATGCTGTTATTATATCCAGGAATTTCTTCTTTTCTTTTCTGAGGGTAAAGAGGATGAATGGACAGAACTAAAATGTGAAACATTTCACAGTTTCTTTTTATTCATTCAAGCCTAAAAGCACTTATTTTATAATATGACAAACTAAAAACCCATTTTTTCTGCTTCATTTGGGCTTCACTCTAAAATAATTCATCAATTGGAACTTTTTCAAACTGTCAAACAAATGGGTGAAAGGCGTTTGGGCTCACCTCTTGCCTCTGACGGCGTGCTGCCGCAGCCCAACCTGAGGACTATAGGAGCAAACGCCATGTAGCCCTCCACACAGTGCTTCCTGATCGTGTCAATGATTGAAGGAGGGAAGTGGATGTGCAGATCACAAAGAAACACAATGCTGTGGTCATCCTGCGGCAGAATGAAGCAGACCATAAAATAACAGCAACTCTATAAACTTGCTCGTCACGTTGCACAGCTCACATCTATCTGATCGATGCCAGCCTGCAGACCAGCAGAGCGCTCGAAGTTCCCACTCAGCTTTATATACTGGAACCTGTTGAATTACACACGTGCGATATCATCACAAATGCGCAAACACAAGTTTCAGTGACAGTTAGGGCGAGGCAAATACAGACTTGGGGAGTGAGGATTTCCCCAGGGCCTTCCTCACGTCCATGTCCGTGCTGCTGTAGTCGATGATGATGAGGTTAAAGTTTGAATCTCCGGTCTCTCTAAACAGCTGCTCCATATCTCTAATCAGCTGTAGCACCCACCGAGCCTGGTTTTTAACTGAAAGTAAAAAATAAAAAAAAAACAGAAGGAGTTTATTTCAATCTTTATTCATTTCTTTAAAACAAATCAATTATATGTACATATAAAAAGAGAGGAAAAAAACACAAACACAATGAAATGAAAGGAAGCAGACAGAAGGAAGCAGGCAGAAAGAAGCCGACAGAAAGAAACAGACAGAAAGAAGTCGGCAGAAGGAAGCAGACAGAAGGAAAAAAATCTTATGATATCTGCCCCTTTTTTCCTCAAGTTTAAACTCAAATAATACTAGTTGAGTTGAGAAGGAGTTGACAAAAATTTGCACCACTTAGGCATCTGTATTGGTAGTTGATTTATGTGTTGTTGTATTTTTTATGAAATGAATAAAGTTAATAATAATAATAATAACAATAATAATAATAATAAATAATTTATCGTGAAGGAATGATTTGCCTTTTACGGTTAAGATGATTTAAGCTCAAGTGTTTTAAGGCTCCGACAATACTTGTTAAATAATAAAACAAAATGCACATTGTTTTTATCTTGTTTTAGTAATTAAAGTGGAAATTAAGAAATTAAGAAAATGACTAAGAATTATACTCCATAAAAGCCAAAATGACACTTAAAAAAGCAAACCTCACTTAAAAATACGATTGTTTAAATCAGAAGTTCCCATAGTTGGTGGGGTCTTGAAAGAACTTTTCGAATTAACAGCATTTAAAAAGGACTACTAACAACATTTTCCTTCCCTTAGTTATTACAAAACTAAGTGAGATTAGCATACTTAAAAACTGATGAAAGTAGCATAATGAATAGTGGTACTATGCCATTGTTTATTTGACCTGATACTAATGTTTATCACCCAAAAGTAATTGGGGGCACAGCTGCTGTTTTTGTGGGTCAAAAGATGAAAAGTTTGGGAACGACCATTGGTCTAAACTGCCATCAGTTTTGCCTAAACAAACACTAATTAATTTTGTTGTTGTTGTTTTTGGACTTCATCCAAAGGACCACCTCTAACCTGGAACAATGAAGTGAACGGTGGCCAAGGGATTCCAGCGGAACCCCACCGGGTTGCACAGCACCATCTGAGGCTTGGAGCGCTGCAAGCCGAAGTTCCTGCTGCGGCTGGTCAGAACGTAGATGTATTGCGACAGACGCAGCGGTTGGCCGTTGACGTCTCTCAGCTCCAGATCCAGAAGGTAGCGGCTGCCCTGGAAGTCGTCAACACGCCTCACCACATTAATGACTCGGACCAACGTGAACCGCCTACAGGAACAGTAAGAAACAATGATGAAGACTGCATTTAATCACAACAGCAGCATCATTTTCACCTCATCACTTTTACTTTAATGTGAACGTAATACTTATCTAAACAACTCAGCTGCAAAAAATGCACAATATAGAAAAAACAACAATCCTTGTTATTGTTACCACATAGTGATCGGTGGAAGTAAAATGCATACCCTTCATGTTTGTCATTAAGTTGATCCATGAAGGCGTTGACTATGGGCAAAGCATCACTGGGGCGGAGCAGCAGGTTTCCAGAAACATTGCAGGCCAGGTCGATCCAATCGGAGCGCTGCGCCTGAAGATCCAGGTGACTCACCTGGAAGGTCTGGTTCCAGTTGACCTGCGTGTCGAACACTGATGCAGGGGTAGAATCCTCCTCATCGTCAGTACCTTCAGTAAGCTCTCCTCGTTGATCCCACATAGAGTTCCTCTCCCTGGCCACCGAGTCTGTCTTCTTGCTGGCGCCCTTTTCCTCCCACTCTTGACCCGGCTCTCCTCTCACATCCGACCACCTTTTCCTTATCTTTCTATCAGCGGTCACCTTATAGATGGGATTATTTAAATCTTCTTGCAGAGGCATATTCATCTCAATCTCTTTGTTCCTGAGGGCCTTTTTGGAATCTGTTTCACTTGTTTTTCGGATAAAGTGGTTGGAGTTTCGCCTGGCGATGGCCGCGCGGGACTCCTCCTCTCCCTTTACAAACTTCCACCAATCGGCCGCCGTGGTTTTCTTAAGTAGGAGCACATCCTTGTCGTTGGTTTGACGTTGGTCTTTCTGGGTTTGGATGTTGTTCCTTTTATGAGACCCCAGGATCTCTGGTTGTTGATTTGTTTTAAAATGCTCTTTGTTAATCAGCACCGATGAGTTTGTTTGCTCTAGTTTCTCATTTGATATGACTTTTTTGCTCTTTGTAGGCCCAACTTTCCGTTTCTTTTGGATTTGTTCTACTTTTTTAACTGGAGCTGCCTGTTTCAACTCCGTCTTGTTTTCTTGCACATGTGGATTGGAGGCTTGCATCGTCTGTAAGGGGTTTGCAACTTTTACTTGTTCTTCCAGAGTTTGTGATGCCACGGCTCTTCCTCGCCACGCCTGAGAGTCCTGTCGACATCGACTTTTATCTGAGAAGTTACCCAGGGTGTTAGTAGTCTCTGTGGTGACCAACGAGAAGAGTTTGCGCCTGCGCTTCTGATTATAATCATCGTAATCATCTCCATTGTCTGTAAAAAGGTCATTATTTGTCTGCTCGGCCCCGACTTCCCTCTCTCTCAGGTAAGTCTCATTGTCAATGTTGTCCTCCTCATCTTGAGCTGATGTCTTCCTCTGGAAACTAAAATCTAACATTCACCAAAAGGAGAGTCAGAAATGCTGATCGAATGGGTTTGACAGCTCAAGCAAACTGACTAAAAGAGAAAATAAAAACAATTACCTCGCCCTGCGTTTCCTTTCTTCTGCGTATTTGGGCGGTCTAATCTCATGTATCTTGAGAAACCAAACCTAAAAAGGATTAAAGACAAAATTATGTAAACAGCATCACATTTTCTGTGAAATAAAATACTGAGAAATCACTGCATTAGATGCAATTCTAAAAAAAACCCAAGAGATTCTTTGTAGACACCACAGACTGACTTGCTGATTTAAAGATACAATTATCCCTAGTGCAGCTTCATCCTAATTGTGTATTTATTAGAGACAAAAAAATTATTTAAAAACTACATCAATACATTGCAAAAGTCTTGAGTCATCCCTCTTTTTTTCTTAATATTTTGCTTTCAAGGAGTCAAACTTTGGAAATCTTTAAAGGGGTTTCGATCCATAGTCTAAGGTTGTTTTTTTTTGGTTTGGTTTTAACTTTTGTTGCTTTTTCTCTTCTTTTCAGTCTAGTACGTGACCATTTTCAGAGCGATCTCTTGTCTGCTTGTTTGGCCTTTTAACTTAAATCCACAAATCATCTCAAGATGAACCAGCACTGAGGTGACATGTAACAAACAATTTAGCAAAGAATTCATTGTCATTTAAATTCTAGGTGTCAGAGGCCAGTTACCAAGATGCAGTATGTTTCTTCAGCTGAATCAAATAAACAAAAAAACACCAAAGACATCACAGTTTGACACTCCACTTTAACACTCGCAGCACAATTTGCTGTCATTATCAGGTACAAAAACTAAACAGGTACAGGACTTTCACCATTTATTCCATGCCTTTCATAAAACCTAATGAACTATTGATAATTTAAAAGGACTGCCACAAAGTGTTGATCCTTTAAAGCAAAACACAAAACATTGAGTGTTTTTTTTTCACATTACTGTAAATCTCTCATCTCATGTTACTTCTTAAGAAACTCACATCGCCTTGTAGTAGGCACTGTCAGGGTAAAAGCATTTGTTCTCTGATTCCATGTGTGTGAGTCGAGTGTAGTCATTTGGGTAGATGAAGGACATATGGACCTAAAAATGAAAAAAATAAAATAAAATAAAATTACTAGCATAAACATACATTTGTTTAACAAAATGAAAACAAGTATTCGGTGAATAAATATTTTTTAAATATTCAGTTGAGACACTTTACTATTAGGTATAAACCAGTTTGCATTAGGTAAAATAGAAAAACAAAAGAATTCTCTGTATTTTCATACGCAAATCCAGACTTTTTCCTGTATCCTGGAACTTCATGAATGAACCGTAAATAAAAACGCAACCTAGAACCCTTTAAGTAAACATTCGACCTATATGTACATGCAGACTAGAGTCCTTTAAGTAAGCATCCTACCTGCAGTACATGTACATAGAAACTGGAGTTCTTTAAGAAAACATACAATCCCAATTACAATGAAGTTGGGACATTGTGTTAAACAAATAAAAAGAGAATACAATGATTTGCAAATCCTTTTCAAACTAGTTTCAACTGAATCCACAACAAAAACAAGAAATTTAACGTTCAAATGTAAGGTTTTTTTTTTGCAAATATTCACATCATTTAAATGAGGTACATACAAACTGGAGTCCTTGGTAACGAAGTAGAGGAAAGTCTTTTATTGTGTAGCTGGGTTTGTACAAACAGTCAGGCAGAACACCTTTGAGGAACTTCTTGTTGATCAGAGGCACTAAAAAGCAAAACAGCATCCAGATCTGAGTCATCATTACTTCTTGCTCTCTTGGTAAGAGGAAAAAAAATGTGCTCAGCGCTTACATCCGGGCTGATAGGAAACGGCAAACGTCTCTCACCTTGGTAGAACGTGTCTCTTGGGTCATCCCTCAGCATGTCTGCTGCAGCGCTGCGCTGCTTCGCGGGGGTGCGTTGGTGGCTCGCGGCTGTCTGTGGTATGTGGTCGACGTCACTCATCGTCAGGTTCGACTCATCTGTTGGACGGAGCCCCGAGAGGATGAGTGTGAGACAAGTGCTTCATGCTTAATGTGCGGAAACAAAAACAGCGACTTAGAGAGCTTTCTTTTTTTTCTTTCTTGAAGCCGAACTGTCGAGCAAACAGTTCTGGACCGAGACACAGTTTGATTCAGCTTTAAAGTGAAGATTAGATTCATGAACACTCAATGTTTCATGCTCTTACCAACATAAAGAGAGATGTGCTTGGATTCAATTAGGGTAAACTTGAAACTTTGGTCTTGGAGCTGCCACTGAAAGAAAATAATAATAATAATAATAATAAATAAATAAATGTCAGGCATCAGAGTTGAATGAAATAACACAGGCTGAGGAATTAAAAACTACTTACTGCCACCTCCACATGATCAGTCCCTTTGTCGTTTTGTTTGTGGATAACTTCAAAAAAGTATCTCATCTTAGCCGACAGCCTGTAAAACATTTCATAATCAGTCCTGTAGATCAGTGTTTCCCAAAGTTGGGGTCGGGACCCAAAGCGGGGTCCCGAAACATCAAGGTGGGGTCCTGATAAGATTTTCCGAATTAATTACATTTTTGCCTTAGTTGGAGTGAGGTTAGTATATTTAAAATGGATAAATGTAGTATAAAAATATTGTTACTATGCCCATGTTTTGTTGACCTGATACAAATGTTCATCATCCAAAAATAGTTGGGATTTTGTGGGTCAAAAGCTGAAAAGTTTGGGAACCACTGCCTTATATGACCTATTGTGTAGAGG